GTGTTAAATATTTAGGATTCCATATATCCGAAGGTCAAAGAATGATGGGACCTGAAAGAAAAGAAGCAGTGTGTCAGATACCGATACCTAAGAATAGAAGACAGGTGCGAGAATTCTTAGGAGCAGCAGGATTCTGCAGGATATGGATTCCTAATTACGCGATATTGGCGAAACCCTTATATGGGGCTATAAAAGGCACAGAACATGACCCCTTCCTATGGACTACTGAACAGCAGAAGGCATTTGAGGATATCAAGAAAGCACTAATGAGTGCCTCAACCCTAGGTCTACCTGATCATACACGTCCTTTCTATCTGTACGTACATGAGCAAAGAAGAATGGCTGTGGGAGTATTAACTCAATATTTGGGATCATGGCAAAGACCTGCTTTGGACAGCTTACATGTCCAAACAGTTGGATGCAGTGGCCAGTGGTCTTCCACCTTGTCTGCGAGCAGTGGCCGCCGCTGTCCTGTTGGTAGCAGAAGCTGACAAGCTTACACTGGGACAGGAACTCCACGTGCGAGTACCTCATGCAGTACAGACCCTCTTGGATTATAAGGGAAATCATTGGTTTAGCAACAGTCGAATGACCAAATATCAGGCTATGTTGTGTGAAAATCCAAGAGTACACTTCGAAACTGTCAACAATTTGAATCCAGCTACCCTTTTGCCTCAGACTACTGAAAGTCAACATGATTGTTTGGAGATAATGGATGAAGTGTTTTCAAGCAGGCCTGATCTTCATGATTTTCCCACCCAGAATTCAGACATACAGTATTATACTGATGGTAGTAGTTATGTGAAGGAAGGTGTACGTTATGCAGGATATGAGGTAACGACTATAGATAAGGTGATAGAAGCACGGACACTGTCAAAAGGGACATCAGCACAGAAGGCGGAACTGATTGCATTAACCAGGGCTTTGCAATTAGCTGAAGGGCTGAGAGTGAATATCTACACATGGAGCATTGTATAAAGAAAGGGGATTGCTGAATTCAGAAGGAAAAGAGATCAAGTATGCGGCTGAAATTCTCCAACTGTTAGAGGTGGTATGGGAACCGAGTCGGTATTATACACTGTAGAGCACATCTAAGGGGTGATAGTGATGTCATCAAAGGAAATAGCATGGCCGACAACGCAGCAAAACATGTCGCTGAATGTGGACAAGAGGAATATGTGGGATATGTCGCAGTCCTTGTACCGGCACCTCTGTCTCAATGGACTCCAATATATACAACCCAAGAGATGGAGTGGTTGAAGACTGAAGCTGGGAAATATCTGGAGAATAACTCGTATCAGTTAGAAGATGGAAGAATAGTTATTCCAACATCTCTGGCTATAGAGATTGTTCAAAACTTTCATAATGGTACACATACTGGAAGAGATAGTATGGAAGAATCTCTTAGGAAACATTTCTATATACCAAGGTTATCTAGTCTGACTCAAACCATAGTTCGGAGATGTGTTTTGTGTGCCCAAAATAATGCAAGACAAGGCCCTGTGGAATTATTTTAAATCAGAAGCATCAAAGGGGGGGAATGTGATGGAATTCCAGTAAAATAAAAGTTTAGGATTGCCACAAGGCATATGTAGGTACATGTGTTTGTAGTATCAGTTAGTTAGTTACACGTAGCTAAGATACTGTCATCAATGTACTGAGCATGTGCAGGAATGCAGGAACTGGAATTACGCGTCCCTCTCCTTTGTTTCAGATGAGCCACGTGGTTAGACCGGATGGATGAGTTTAGACTCTTTTCATTGATTAGGTTAAGGGTATGTGTGGGCGTAGCTAATTATGGGAGGAGCTACAGTGCTATATAAGCTATGGATAAGGAATGTACTCTATGTATTCAGTGCTCAGAATTTTGGAACAGGAGTTCATCTGAGACCCGATCGGTAATGTGAATAAAGGCCTCTTACTTCCTGAATACCTGTGTCCATCTCTCTGGGTTCGGCTTCTGCACGCTTACACGGTTACAATAACATCACCGTAACAAATTAATGGAACAGAAAAAGTCAAATGATATGATTATGTGAGTGTGATTCACTCTGACCAAATAATATGGAAAGTTAGGTAGACCCAGTTCATTGCAGATATGGGTATGAGTGACAAACAGGATAATAAATCAAAAGTTAAATAATCAGTTAACACATGTAAACCATGTGTTAATTAATCACAGGGATAATCAGCTACAAAAATTATATAACATTTAGTAAGACAGAACAAAAGCCTGACTTCTCGTCCAAATCCTAGGCAACTGTTTAATATATATCTAGGAGATTGTTGATGAACTTGTATTTTAAATGACAACAATGATCTTTTACCCATGTCCCCAGATCTCTGGTAATCAACTTCAAACAACCCTGCAACCTCATGACTCAAACTCCATTATTCCTTGTAGATTGTAAATTAACAAGTAATCTTGCTAAGCACTTTGTAGAAAAGTACTGTAATTGCCAGATCAGCGGTTGTCAAACTGTATAACTTTTTTAATAATATTTATGCCCTCTCATAAGGTTAATCCAATATGCACTAATTGTCTCTTTTTCCTCCTTTTAAAGTAGGTACATTTATTGTGCATTATGATGTAATAGGTGTGCTGCTCATGATTTCTTTTCATATGCATCTTCATATTTTTTAAGGAGATATTCCCCAAAAAGTTATGTTTTGATATATATTTAGGAGAATGTTTATAAATGGATGTTTTACATATTCTTAATAGTGTGAATATATGTATTGTGTATCATTTTCTATATGGGACTTTTTTAAAAACATTTTAGTGAATATTACTTTTAGCAAGCATTGAGATGAGGGTGTTTGTAATCACTTATAAGAATAAGGTTTTCCAATTTAGCCAATCATATGGCGAGATTTTCACTTTTTGGGCAATCACGCTCACTTCTGGGACTTGAATTCAGATTGTGGTTGGAATATGGGCGGATCTGATGAAGCCGAGTACATTACGTCATCACGCTCGATGGCCATAAACCACGCCTCCCAGAAGAAGTGTAGCAAGTATCCAGTTCTTTGTATCTTATGAAGCCGGCATTGGACGCAGAGATTGGTTTTAACACTGATCGGAGGAGGAAGATAGACTTGTAAAAGGGGACTTACCTGCCTGGAAGCGGATTTTATCCATATTGTGAACATATTTTTGTTTATCTTCATCACAGCCTGAAGTCTTCATACTTGCAAAGATGCCATCATTGTTCAGAGCAGACTTTAGTGCTCTATAT